TACTCTTGTTATTAATAGTAACCTCTATTAGTAACTATGGCTAATATAGATCCAGTCAAAATGGGGGAATTTTACAGTAAACATTATGAGGGAAAACATTGACTATTATCATCATTACCCTTATTATTATTATTAAATTACAAATTAAGGGGTTGCTTTCACTTAAAATACCATTTAAAGATTTGGCAATAATGAAGTGCATTTTTTATTGGAACATACACAAAATTAGATGGTTAAAAGGATTGTAAACAATAACAACAACAACAAATGATATTACTGATATAACATTAACAATAAGTAGTATTTTAAGTTTATTATAAATCAACCTTGATGAAAAGTCCAAACAAACAAACGAAATGCCGTGACCAGTAGAGTTCAAACAGGTCTGTTGGACGATGGCTCAATTTCATGGATCGGTTGAAGTTAGACATTAGCACCGCTGGATGCCAGTTCAGCGGTTCTAGAGTTTAGGCGATCGCGCACAAGACTGATAGGTCCTGGTTTCGGACTTCGCGAGGCGGGATCATAGATGCGTGGAGTTCCACAAATGCCGTAAGTAGTAGAAGTAGTATTCCCCCAAATGGCCTGATACGGCCAAGAGTAGGAAGAGTCCGCTCTCCTTCTCCAAATGCTCTCACAAGGCCACGTGTATATAGCCTCTGTCAGAGACGTCCTACTCACTGTCTTCTCATGGTATTACTGTTGTTTACGAAATTGAGAGGACGAAAAGTGAATGTCCGGCGCTTTAATCGGGTTGGTGGATGTGGAGTGTCCACCTAGGGGAGTTGGAAACCCTCATTCCAAACCAATGGTACACATGGACTGGCTCCAGTATCCTGCTGAGGGAACAAATGGCGTATGATCCAATTGTTGGTCCCTGGCTACCATAGGACTGCATTGCCCGACGTTGCTCCATTGACTTGTGGATCAGATATTTAGGTCAAAGGCTCAGGGTGTAGCCCTATAAGAAAATCACCTGCTTCAGTCTTGGCACTCCGGTAGTATCCAAGCTCACACACAAATCAAGTGACTTGTGTGGCGCATACGTATTCGCTCCACTTGTATCAATATTTATTTGTTCAAATAAAAAAATAAACAGTGTTTATAAAGAAATTAAAATTTGTTTAGCACCTGTTTCTTGTTCTTCAGTTAGTAAAGAAAGGAATTGAGTTGAAAATTCAGACCTGATATACATCCGTGGACATAGACACTAGAACACTATATAATCTACGTTTTCATGTCAAACACCATAGCTTCTGATTATTGAATGAAAACCTAATGGCTTACATTGACAATCAACTAGTGGCGTCAGTGAACATCAAGAATCAGTCACTCAACTAGATACCAGTGACAACATGAATATGGTTTGCATGATTGGTTCATAATAAAAATAGCACATTTTGTAGATGATTCTCCTGATGGAGTGGAATCGATTGAAAAGAGAATGAAAACTATATAATAATAATGGACAGTTATTTTGTCTTAGTTTGTAACTGATTAATGTTCCCTTAGCTAACTGCAATATTCAGTTGTAATCAACATACAGTCTAGTACGAATATGCTCTAGTCCTACTTTCCATACTACGTTAATATGAATACCAACGGAATTGAAGCAATCTTAATAGTAATGGTAACGTAAAAAATCTAACTATTGGGAAAATGCTTTGAAAGAAATTGAACAGAAAGTTGAAATACAAGAACCAGAAGAAAACAAAGTATACGTGCATTTGTGTCAGTCAGTCTAATCAATTCTCTGACATATCACTCGATGTCTCCAACCAATTATCTTCGTTATCATTCGAGCCCTAACTAGATTAGCATCTGCATCAACATAACTAGGATCAACGGTCAGTGATTTCATTAAATAGTGTCATGCCTTTGTCTTGCATCCCTTTGCTCACTTCTAAATTACTCTTACTCCAGCCAGTATTACACGTCTAGATTGATGTTGGTCGATTGTATCCCGAAAACCACAGTCGATGAAGGTACATAATAGTAGGTGTTTTATACCAAATCAATAGCCAGAATAATGTTGAGAATACAATTATTATATATATGTGCCTATCTAAACACTTGACATTTTTCACTAATTCTGAGATGATCCTCAGTTAGCCATCATCATTGTAGAATAGGGAACGAGTTTGCATTGAACCAATTCGTTACATGTGGAGTCGGTGCATAGATTGCAAATCAACAAGATTAGATATATAGAACGCGAAATCCCAAATCAAAAGATCACCAGTAAATTTTATGTTTGTGTTTAAAAGAAAGCAGAAAAAAGGAAGTGGTATGCTTAAGAAGAAAAATAACATGAGTCAATGCTTGCAGATTTGCAGATTTTTTACGGCAAATTCTTATACATAATGTATTGCTACTGAAATGATATTTAAGTAGCTGGCCGAATAGACTACAAATTACAAACATCTCTGTATATAATGCTTGGAACTCAACGCAATACCGAGGCAATCCGTATAGGATGCACATATGTCAGCAAGAGACTGATTAATTACAGTCCTCATCATCAATGAGATGATTCGAACAACTAATACAAAATGAACCAAAACTTCACCCATTACACAAGCCAGTGGTTATCTGGACCTAATAGATGAGTGCATAACACGACGGCATTTGAGACGAACGGTATTGTGTTCGAGTCCCGGAGTGAACAACAACTCTGGGATGTAGGTACGTCCAGCAGACAAGTCCCGGATAGGATGAGACCAGCGTCCTAGAATTTACCCATAGTCAACATCCATCCTCCACCTGTATTACTTTTCAATAATGCATTACATTCTAAAAGACTATAATCACCTTAAGAACATGTTCACTTTCTTGAAAATTAAATTGAGAAAGGAATCTTTTTGATTTAAAAAACAAACCACCACGACGGCATACGAAAGTTATGGTGATTATCAACACATTCCCGCGTACAACAAAATACACTAGCTCCTCTTGATTTTGTGAAACACTACAGATTTTAACATTGCAAAATAAGCGTCTCAATTATGAACGCGGTAGCGAAATTATGTAATCAGTTGGCTATCGGACACGTCTAGTTAGTTTTTAGTCTGTCGTTGGGTTACAGATTTACGTTATTCCCATGATGGATTTTTTTTACAACTACTTAGGAATGTTATCCATGGCAAAAGATATGGTAAAATCTACCGTTTTTAATCGTTCAGCCAATTTCAGACGTTCCAACAAGTGGTATTTTTCTAACAGTCACCAGTGTATTGGTACTGGGTAACATTAGGTACATATATGGTTTGATATAGTTTACCATACATAAGTTACAGCCAAGTAGATATAAATGTGTTCATCAGATTGTCTCACGAATACTCTAGTCAAGTATCTATTAATCTGTAGGACTTCAGTCAATGTATATAATCACGTGAGTTCCTAAGTCTGAGTAACACAAGGCACTTAGCTGGCAATTTTGCTGTTTTGATTAGTAGTTTACGTATAGGCGAATATTCTCTGTGCGGGATAGGGGATCGTCTTGTTGCCTAGATTGAACCAGATCGATCAAAACGAGTGAATGAATCATTAATCCTATTACGTTAGCTCTAAGTTAATTATACCACAATCCTGTATTAAAAAGAAAAGTGAAAAAGCACGTACTAAATTTTTCATATATATATGGTGGTTGATTCTATGTTGAGCCCACATAGCTTGTTCTAAACTCCGGACAGGCCAATTTATTCCTTCTTTCTGAGTCATATTTTGATCTTGTAATTATTCGCTTATCAACCTTGACAGTTTTTATATGAGCATATTTGCGTTTACACTTCTTATGCTAATCATCACATGTCTGTAACTAATTTTAGTCTGATTATGAATGCCGATCAACACTTGATTCAATTGAGTTGGCTCACTGGCCTTCTCTATTGCGCGTCGCTTAGCTTTGCTTCTCCCTATCATCTTAGCTCCCTTCACAACAATTCTCTGGTTGTCTATTCAGATCAAAAATTGTATGAAATATATAGACCCAAGAGTTATTCACGTATTTGACTTATTTAATTCCGCTATTCACCAGCGCGAGTTAAGTCGATGATTTTATACGAGGGTAGCAGGGATGTATATTTTGACAAAAATCATTAGTTCAATCTACGTGGTGAGTCCGACGACGAAGCGAAAGAAGTAAACCACATCGATGATGAAGCTTCCACACTCCATACTTTCGACAAACAAACCCACCAAAGCCAGCTCAATCAATAAACAACACAGTTTTCTACCTTACGACCAAATCGGAGGAAGACGAAGGCACCACTAAAGTGGTAAGCTTGACCTTGAGCTAAACACACCCTGAAAGTCTACGAAGACGATGAACATCTTGAACTCTACGCGTCCGACAAACGAACATAACATAAGTATCCGCATACAAAATGTTTCAATAGTTGAAATCATGAGTCAATTGAAGCTCGACCACCATGAAAAACCTGAAAACACTGGACAGCCGTTTCGTCCTATTATGGGACTCCTCAGCAGTGAGCATCCAGTGCTTCTAGGTTTTCCATGGTGCTCTACTTTCAATTAACTCATGATCTCAACTACTGAAATTACTATAATATCCACACAACCCACCTTCTGATATAAACCGTTTATCAATTATTATTTTTAAATATAGAAAAGAACCCTTTGTCTATTTACAGTATATTAAATACATAATATGTGTAACAGACTATTCCGAAAGTCTATATTGAATAGTTCATTTGTTTTATGAGCGGCCTACGCTCCTCCACGAGGGGTAACAGGAGTAAGTAAGTAAGTTCATTTATTTTATTGGGAGATTTCAATCAAAGCAACACAAAACGTATTAAAATACAATACTATACAACACAACACAACATGACAGTAAGAAGGGGAGAGTGAAGAAGAAAGAGAACAAGAGGAGAAGGTAATAGATATAGAGAAAAAAGTCTCTGATACAAAACCAAATGTATGTACACATTTTTTTACATAAAGCAAAATACTGATCACAAATATGACTTCCTATTTCTTCAGAAGTGATTATTTCTATAACGTGAACGCCTACCACCAGCACTACTACCTCTTCCAGCGTTGAACATTCTAGGATTACGACTACCACCACCACCACCAACACCTCTACGTCCTCTATTAGATTGATATGGTCGACCTGTTAAACCATAATCAGTAGAAGGAATTTCATCATATTGATTAACATCTTTATATTCTGATTGTGATTGTACACAATATGGTCGTATTTTATCCAATGGTGCAGCAGGTACCATATCTATAGTAATCTGAAACAAAATACATGTAATAGAATCCTTTACTTGGAAGTGAGAAAACAATAATCAGAAAGAAATTGACCGAACGAACGAACGAACGAACTGTATTGGTGGTTAGTTAGGGGATTTCAAGTGATATTAGACATATAAGGGACGTTTTGACAACTCAGGTTGCCAACAGTGTGGTAAGACACTTTTTTTCTTGTTAGACCTGAAAAAGAAAATTTCATTAAGGATGGTCTAGATGAACTAGAAGTGTAACCGCACAGCCGAAAGGACAACTAAATGAAACTATTCATATATATATAGTATTTTTAGTGGCGCCTTAGCTCTCTATTTTTAAGGTCTTACCGGCGGCAAGGAAAATCCATGGAGTAAGATGAAATGTGTAATTATGAAACTTAACCCCTTATTAAACTCCCCTTCTGTTGTGGATGAGCAGTGATGCTGCAGGATTAAACCCATAACTAAATTAATTGTTTTTTCCCTAAAAAAATGTAAGAAATTGGATAACTCTGTTGCACATTAATGAAAAAGACAGCAATATTTCAAAGATCTTCAAAAGATAAACAATAGAATTCTCACCTATGTACACGTATGCACACACACACACATACACATATACGCGTTAAATTATGTCCCATATATAGTGAATGAAACATTCACTGGCCGGATACTATCAGCAACAGCCTTTTATAAGAGAGGACAAACCAACTTCCAGCTGAAGAGGAAATTAGGACAAGACGTTGGAAGTGGATCGGACACACATCACCAATGTGCATTAGGAGGTAAGCACTAACTTGGAATCCGGAAGGGAAGTGGAAAAGAGGTAGGCCAAAGAACACATTACGCCGGGAAATAGAAACAGATATGAAAAGGATGAGTAACAACTGGAAAGAACTGGAAAGGATTGCCCAGGACAGAGTTGGATGGAGAATGCTGATGAGCGGCCTATGCTCCTCGACGAGGGGTAACAGGCGTAAGTAAGTAAGTATAAAGTGAATAAACGACTACTTACCTTTTCTTTATTTAATGTTCTTATCAAACTGATAGGTACAATTTCTTCTTCATCTACAATTAATTCAGGGTTATTCTTATGTTGATGATGATAAATAACAAGTACAACTTTCTCTCCTGAACCCTTATTATTATCAATAGTGATATTACTACCATTGAATGTTTTAAATTGTTGTGTAGAGAAATGACCAATTAATTGTGCTTCTTCATAATCACCAGATATATTTTGTGCTAGAATTGGACAACCAACCGGTAGAATACAAGTTTTGGATATAATCGTTGATGTTGAAGATGATGATGATAATAATGCAGTATTCGATGTTGTTATTGGTTTTGATTCAACAATTAAATCATCCAAACGAGTAAGTCCTGTTGATGGTCGAATCAGCAATGTATTATGATCATCTGTAGTTCCAATAGAAGACTGAAACTTAACAAGTAGAAGAACAGTGTACATATTTATCTTACAATAATCAATGGGTAAGAATTCAAACTAGAAATACAAATGTCTACTTAATAGCAATAATTCAATGTTATTCATCCCTTCAAAATTTACATAATAAATTGACCTCAGTTAAACAACCATTCAAGACTAGGAAAAACTGAACAGTTGTTTCGATCTAGTATGGAACTTTTATAAATAGTACATATCCACAACCTCTTCGGGTATGGAGACTATAATCTTCAATTCTTGCCCCCAAATGCCCTGGTACGGCCAAGAGTGGAGAGAGTCCGCTCTCCCTCTCCAAATGCTCTCATATGGCTAAGCGTATATAGCCTCTGTCAGGGAAGTCCTACTCACTGCCTTCTCACAGTGGCATTACTGTTGTTCACCAAATTGAGAGGATGAAAAGCCAATGTACGGCGCTTTAACCGGGTTGGTGGACACGGAATGTTCATGTGGGGAAGTTGGAAAACCCTGATTCAAAACCAATAGTGCAAATGGGCTCCAATATTCTGAGGGAACAAATGGTGTAGAGATCAATCGTTCGTCACCGGCCATCATGAGACTTCATCTCCTCACGATGCTCCACTGCTTTTTGGATCAGATATTTAGGTCAGAGGCTCCGAGTGTTACCCCCTAAGAAACCACGTGCTTCAGTTTGGGCACCCGGGCAGTATCTTAGCCCTCACACAAATCGAATGAGATTTGTGCGGCGCATATATATCTGGTGTTCTTTGTACCAATATTTAAGTGTTTAAATAAAATAAAATAAATAAAAAATCTTCAATTCTTACGGGACTCCCATAATCTTTGGACCACAGAGCCGGCATTCAGTGGGTTTACATTTCTAACTTCAATCGATTGTCAATATTCTCTGATGATATTCCCATATTAGTCCAACTCCACTGATTACCGTTTCTCCAGCTTACAATAATAATAACATTCATTTTACCTAATTCGATGTGTGCAACTCCAGTTTACATAATCAACTACTAACTTGTATGACTTACTTAATTATTTTATTTACAACAAAAAACTTATCAATACAAAGGAGTTTTCCAAGTAGAATCATATTGAATTCCACATAACTGTTTACCAAAACAAAAAATGCACATTTCATGCACTGGTGTGTTGAGAGGTTGAAGCGTAGTGGGTACTAAGTCAACTAATATAGACAAGATAAAGAGTCATATGATTGTATATCTGGAATAAATAAATAAGTCAACTTGGATACGCCTAGATTTAATCATAATAAAACCATTTTAAGAGACTATATATACATAGATTTGGAAAAATGTACACGATACTTATTTATTTAAACACATAAATATTGGTACAAGGGGACACCAGATATATATGCACCACACAAATCTCATTTCATTTGTGTGAGAACTGTAATACTGCCCAGGTGCCCAAACTGAAACAAATGATTTCCTAAGGGGACCACACCCCGAGCCTTTAACCTAAAGGTCTGACCCACAAGGCAGTGCAGGAGCATCTTGAGGAGATGCAGTCCCATGGTAGCCGGTGACCAACGATTGATTCATACGCCATTTAATCCCTCCGGATACTGAAGTCCATGTGCACCATTGATTTGGAATGAGGGTTTCCCAACTCCTATTGGTGGACTCGCCGTGTCCACCAATCAGGTTAAAGCGCCGGACATTCACTTTTCGTCCTCTCAATTTCGTAAACAACAGTAACGCCACGAGTAGTGAGTAGAACTTCGATGGCAGAGGCTATATATGTGTGGCCGTGTGAGAGCGTTCCGAGAGAGAGAGTGAGAAAGAGCGATCGCTCCCCACACTTGGTCGTACCAGGGAATTTGGGGGTACGATACTATTGATCGGAAAAACGATACTGAAAGTTAAAAGTAGTTTAATATCAATATGTAACCTAAAGTTAGGCTACCTGTTTCTCCCTTGTGTGATAGTAAAAGCCACTTCCAAGAAGCAGTTACTGCTTAGACTTAGTTAATTTTGAATAATTTATTGATCACTCCATTTAGTAAGCATATTTCATTCTGTTCTGATAAACACGTAACCTCTGATGAATCTCAAATGGAACGAAACACACATCCTGGATTCCACCGCTACCTATCATCCATCTTTACTCATAGAACATGAAAATGTTGAGTTTTCAGCAATTGATCAGCACATAAAATAAACAGTAAAATCAAAATATATTCAACCAGTGATTGTTAAGTCATAACAGCGATTTCAAGTATTGATTCACAGGTTCGAACCCAGTCAGCATTAAAAGAAAGTGTCGCTCAAAGCCGGATCCATAGAACAATACTTAGTTGACAATAAACTTACTCGATTAGAATTAAATCCATATCCACCATCAGAATCATGTCGACCACTGCCACGATGACCACGTTCATATCCTCGACCAGTAACACCACGTGAACGAATTCCACGTGATGTATTATTTGTAATATGATTATTTATTATTGAATTATCTTCAATATGCATCAGTGATGTCGATTTAGATAATAAACAATCTAATGCAACTTGATAATTATTATGATTATCCCTTAATGCACGATTAGCTATTTGATATGGATAACCTAATGATAATAATTTTGTTAGAGATATATCATATTCCATGGATTTTTGTGATTGAATTTCATAAAATCTAAAATTTGATCATTAAAGAAAAGAAAAACTATGTATATGGATACAAGTTTATAAAGAGTGAATGGACTCAGTAATCAAATAGATAATACGTTAGCATTTAAAGTGAATGGGATCGAGTCCTGAAGTGAATATCAACACTAGGATGAGAGTACATCTAGATGACAAATCTTAATAAGGATGAAACGCACATCTAGATTCCACTGCTGGCCATTATCGATCTCTGCATATAATTACTCGTATTTATATTTATTAAAACACATAAATATTGGTACAAAGGGGCACCAGATATATATGCACAACAGAAATCTCATTTTAATTGTGTGAGGTCTGTGATACTGCTCAGGCGCCCAAACTGAAACAGGTGGTTTTTTTAGGAAGCCAGACCCAGAGCCTTTAACCTTAAGATCTGATCCACAAGGCAGTGCAGGAGCATCGTAAGGAGATGTGCTTCCATAGCAACCGGTGACCAACAATTGATTCATACGCCATTTGTTCCCTCAGGATACTGGAGTCCATGAGCACCATTTGTACGGAACCAGGGTTTTCCAACTCCTCTAGGTTAACTTTCCGTGTCCACCAACCTGGTTTAAGCGCCAGACATTCACTTTTCGTCCTCTCAATTTCACAAACAACACTCCCATCACGAGAAGGCAGTGAGTAGGACTTCCGTGACAGAGGATATATACGTGTGGCCATGTGAGAGCATTTGGAGAGGGAGAGATGATTCTTCCCACTCTCGGCCGTACCAGGACATTTGGGGGCTATAATTACTAGTAATTTTACTCAACTTTGTTCAGAACGAGACAGTAATCAATTTATCATTACCATGATGAAGTCACAACTTTGATTAAAATCACCTGCAATTATTTATACTACTACTAGTAGTATAATGATTATTTTAAACTTATCATATGCTCACTAGTGACTTCGAGAAGTACATCTAGGAGCTCTAGTGAGAAGCAGTGACCAGTGGAGTTCAAAACCACGTCTGTTGTGAGATAGGAACTCACTGAAGACAATTGGTGAATGGTTGCTCAACTTCGTGGATCAGTTGAAGTTAGACATTAACACCGTTGGATGCCAGCTCAGTGGTCTATGGGTTAAGGGCTTCGGTTCGAGACTGGTAGGTCCTGGGTTCGAATCTCGCTCGCGAGAGTGGGTTCGTGGATGCGCACTGCTGAGGAGTCCCATAATAGGACGAAACGGCCGTCCAATGTTTCCAGGTTTTCCATGGTGGTCTAGCTTCAATTGACTCACGCTTTCAACTATAGTAAATACTAAATCTCCACAAAACCCCTTCTATAATTAATATTTTATTACTGTTTTGTGTTCAGAACTAGACCGTAATGTATTTATCATCACTTTGATAAATTTTCATAGTTGAAAGCGTGAGTCAATTGAAGCTAGACCACCAAGGAAAACTTCGAAGCACGGGACGGCCGTCTCATCCTATTATGAGATTCCTCAGCAGTGCGCATCAACGAACCCGCAAGCGAGCGAGATTCGAACCTAGAACCTATTAGTCTCGCACCAGAGCACTTAACCGATAGACCACTGAGCCGGCATCCAACGTTGTTAATGTCTAACTTCAACCAATCCACGATGTTTGAGTAACCGTTCACCAATTGTCTTCAGTTAATTGTAACCTCACAACAGACGTGGTTGAACTCCACTGGTCACTACTTCTCACTAGAACTCCTGGATTTACTACTACTAGTAGTATAATTATTATTTTACTAGTGTTTGTTTTGTTATCCAGTCTTCATAGCAGTAATTCATATTTCATGTACGCCAAAATCATTCTTTTATTCATCGGGTTCTTTTTCTATCATTCAATTCTCCAAACTAATGTAAACCCTTATGCAATTATTAAGCAACTCTCCAATCTTCTATTCTAGACGGTTACCACTTCACTGTTCTATCTCTCCTATAACTAGTTTCAACTAGTGTGAATCTGTTATAACTTGTGGCTGAGTGGATGTCCTATTGATGTATGACGTGATAGAACCGCCAATTAGAGAGCAGCGAATTATCGATTGCAACAGTGACACACGAGCAGTCTAGATTACGTAACGGTCATGCTTCTGCCTAGCCCAGCCAGTTAATAAGTCCAGAACAGCCACTGCGATATGAATCCTTGTATTTCAAACATATTGAGTTTATGTACCAATCAAACTGACCACATCGCATCATAAAATAGAAAATAACATGTATACAAGATTAAGCCAAATGTGGCTGTGAATAAGGGGAGTAGTAATCAATAGATTGGGTGTAATTCATGAATGGTAAATCGTATAACAATACTTTATAATTCAAAATAAAGCTCATGACAAGGGAAACATGAATATGAATAATTTAGTTACTTAGCGATTATACGATAAAATATATGCATAATATTGGTCCATAAATGGATCCCAAAGTTCCCATTCACTATTGTTATCGGGACATAACAGAAACTTATGTAAATCTTCTATACCCATCTTACCAGTTTCCAGACTACATAGACCTTTAGCTCCTTGACTTTTGGATTCCATTTACAAATGGCCTCTCATTTGTTTATTCACACATAGATAGTTAGTGTTGATAATGTTTGTAGTTCTAATTCTTACCGTTATCAATGTCTATTGCGTCATATTATATCACATCTCAATGTTACGCTTTAATATGAATACGCTTGTGAGCTGCTGATGAGAAACTACGAAATATAATGAATTCCTGGTAAATTTTCTCCATCCAGGTAAGTGTATGGAAATACATATTCTCACTAAATTATGAACGAAGTCAAAACATATACCAAAGTGAGACTTATATCAAAACTCTAAAGTAATGACTGGTAACAACATGATCCTTTTGTATTTATTATTTTGTTTTTAATGTCTGAGGACCACTTGGGTGAACAAGATCTCTGTTTATGCTTAAAATGGGCAATTATAACGAAGATATGCGAAACATACATGAATCCCAACCATTGCTGCTACCTTGACGTGGTGGTTAGACTTGCCTATCGTGATGAATCAATCGAGCTATACTGGCTGAAACAGGTCGGTTGAAGAGCGGTAAGACTAAAAGCGGCAATCCCAAGGTTCGAAGGCGAAGTCGTACTGCTGAATGTACAGATGTGTGACGGCAGTAAGGTGTTTCCTACAGACAACCGGCATTACAGCGATGTTGTCTTCCCACAAGGAGGGGTGGGGTTAGAAAAGGTCGACCTTAAAAATGCACACCTCGCTATATCCCACGGATTTCCGTCTCCGGAGGTAAGGTCCCAATAAGTACGAAGCTAACACAAAAACTACCCACAAAAAGGTCGTGTGTGACCGACCTCAAGCAGTTGTCCCTTGGGCACTGCGGTCACGTTCTCAGGTCATTAAGATCACTTTTGACCCAATTTCCTTTTCAGGTACCTCTAGAAGAACCTTTCCACGGTGTGGCCAACCGGGAAGTGATAACTGCCATCATACCTCTAATAGTACTCAAGACCACTGAAACATACATGAACTAACTGTCTAAGTTCTACGCCAAAACATCGCAGGTTAAGTTTGTACATTTTTCTTATTAGTACTACATTGATATTACTTTTACATTAATGTACGTACACATACTTTTCCGAGGTACAATTTAGTAATATTACAACTAGACAAAGATTTGTGGTAGTATCGGATATATAACTTTGTCTGAACGCTTATTGTTGCCTCGAATAAAAATGGGGTTCGGACAACTACGAAAGTCATCAACCAGGAGATATAAGCGTTTATTAACAGTTGTCTATACAAAATACTTCAGATCCGTTGGCCAAACACTATCATAGAACAAACCAGATTCTAGAGGAAGAAATCAATAAGAAGTGCTGGAAATGGATAGGACACACATAGAGGAAAGCACCCAACTGCGTTACAAGACAAGTCCTCACATGGAATCCTGAAGGCCAAAGAAGAAGAGGAAGACCAAAGAACATATTACACCGAGAAATGGAGACAGATATGAGAAGAATGAACAAAACCTGGACAGAACTATAAAGGAAGGTCGAGTGGGTTGGAGAATGCTGGTCAGCGGCCTATGGCTCCATTGAGGGTAACAGGTGTAAACAAGTAAGAAAGTACTTATTAATAACCTATTTGGAAATGAGATCAATTCAATTTATCATTATGATATATTAGATTTCAAATAATCAATTTCTAAAGAATATTTTACCTTGATAAACCTGGTCGAAATCGTCTTGGTTTATTACCAGAAAAGATTCTTTGATGATCATTTGTATTATTGATATTGTTAGGAACATCATCCTCATGATCATTACCACTAATATAATTATGAGATTTACATAATGTTGTTGATGATTTCAATTCAGCTAATACTTCTTTACGATGTTCATTAAATAAAGTTTGTAATTCACTTTCTTCTTGATCTTCATTACGATTATTGGTAATCATTTGAAATGAATCAAATTTCACTAGAAATATATAATGTGTACATACATATGTATATACATATTCATGTTTACATAGAAACCAATCTATAACAAATAATACTTGAATTATTAATGAAACTTTGTCTCTGTCAGTTACAAACACTAAGAGACATGTGTTATACATGTTCCAAAATAATCTGTCAAATAAATATCTGAATTCACAATTGATTTGATCACTGGGTGGTGATCAATGTCATGCGTGTCAAGTCCTTAATAGTGTTGATCGAATGCTATCAATCAAGTTGCAATGTGGCCACTAGTCTAGGTGGCTCGACACTCCGTGAACTATGTTGAGATAAGATGGTAGTTGGAGGTGGTCAACAGGAAACTGTGGACCCAGGTTCCGTACTACTTGGTACTCGTCAGCAAGGTGTACCTGTAATCTTGAGTGAACTAGTGCTCGCTAACGGATTCGATCTCGTGTCACCCAACTTCACAGTCAGAGACATTACCACTGAGCTATTAGGAGCCGCGACCGACCTCCTGTAGGACTGAGATGTAATCACAATTGATTGATCACTGGGTGGTGATCAATATCATGCGTGTCAAGTTCTTTTTATTTGAACTACACTATTACTAATTTTTATTGTTCTCACGTACTTATCTACGTTAGATAACCACTGGAAACACGGAAGAACTTGACGACTAATTTGTCTTAACATAGGGCTCCTCAACCAGTGAGGGTTCGACACCTAGCAACCAAGAATCAAAACAGAAGACCTTTAATCTCAAGCATAAACGTTTAACCTTTAGGCCGGTGAGCCAGTATCCAACGGTGTATATGTATAACTCCAGACAATCTACGATATTATGCAACCATCTTCTATTGTCTTTCGTGGGTGAACTTTCCATACTCGATACGATCAAACTCTAATGGTCACCGTTTCATAATAGAACTCCAAGGATTTTCTCTTATTTCTGTAGGAACTTCCGGAAGTCTACAAAATATTGACAGATGTTTATAGAGCTAACGTACTGAAGAAAATAACCCAATTTACTAGTGGATCAGTAGTTTATTGAAGACTCAGAAGACTGTAGAAATGCTGAAAAACCTGGACTATCATAAATGCTGTCTTATGTTGATGACAATGATGACTTGTTTGATGTCTTGTGCTTTACAACAGGCCGATTCATGTATCTAATGATTGGGAATGAACTTATGTTAATTTAAAACGCCTCCTTGAAGTAACATATCATATCATTAACCGTGTAGATCAATTAATCATTGCTCACGACCTCAGAGACATGTTTATTCACATATAAATGGGAACCGATAAATGCAACGGGATGTAATGTCACCATATTCATACAACGTTTGAATTTATATGCATGCAGCAACTTATGTATTTATTTAAACACATAGATATTGGTACAAGGAAGCACCAGATACATATGCGCCACACAAATCTCGTTTGATTTGCATGAAGGTTGTGAAACTGCCCAGGTGCCCAAAATGCAGCAGATGGTTTTCTTAGGGGGCCACAGTCGGAGCCTCTGACCTAAAGGTCTAACCCACAAGGCAGTGGAGCATCGTGAGGAGTGGGGGCGAGTGGCAAGCAGTAGAATCCAAAACGCGCGTTTCATCCTATTTGGGACTCGTCAGCTGGATGTACCTACATCTCAGAGTTGATGTTCACTCTGGAACTCGAACCCAATACCTTTCACTTCAAACGCCATCGCGTCATTCACTCAGCTACTGAGTCCTAAAAACACCTGGAAGCACTGGACGGCCGTTTCATCCTATTATGAGACTCCTTAGTAGTGCGCATCCACGATCCCGCACTCACGAGATTCGGACCCAGGACCTATCAACCTCGCGCCGAAGCACTTAACCGATAGACCACTGAGCCGCATGCAGTATAAGTATCAAACAATACATAATTAAGTATGCTTCCTCTCTCACTCTTTCATAGACACACTTACTTTGATTACGCTCTCGATCCGATCGTAATTGATTAAGAAATTTCCCTTCTGTTTGAATAAGGCAAGAAGCTTCACGACTACCAAACGGTACAAACATCGGAGCACCACTACCTATTAAACGATTATCTGTTCCTTTAAGAAACTGAAAGAGGCAAAAACAATTTGGAAAAACTACGAATTTGAACATAGACAAAATTTAACTGAATTATAAATTCCAAATTAACTAATTTTAGTAGTAACAGATGTTAAGCATACATCCAACTCAGTCAGAAAAAATTCACGACGGATTTAGAATTTTGGCCAATTACTCATAGTTTAATCCTGATATCGTCTAATCAGTAGTTCTATGATATGTGAGTAATGATTTGAAGACACTTATGATCAATGAATTACAATTTATGCAACTCTCCTACCTACATAAATAATGTTTAATGTTTATAAGGTAGATAGCATAGTGTGGATTTCTGAACAGTATACTCACCCTTCACAATTGATTGATCACTGGGTGGTGATCAATCTCATGCGTGTCAGGTCCTTCTTAGTGCTGATCGAATGCTATCGATCGAGTTGCAATGTGACCACCAGTCTAGGTGGCTCGACACTGCTTGCACTATGTATATTGAGGTAAGGTGGTGGTTGGAGGTGGTCAACAGGAAACCCTGGACCCGGGTTTCGTGCTACTTGGCACTCGTCAGCAAGGTGTACCTGTAATCCAGAGGGAACTGATGCTCCCTGGCGGATTCGATCCCGCGTCACTCAGCTTCACAGTCAGAGACGTTACCACTGAGCTATTCGGGCCGCGACCAACCTCCTGTAGGACTGAGATGTAATCACAATTGATTGATCACTGGGTGGTGATCAATATCATGCGTGTCAGGTCCTTCTTAGTGCTGATCGAATGCTATCGATCGAGTTGCAATGTGACCACCAGTCTAGGTGGCTCGACACTGCTTGCACTATGTATATTGAGGTAAGGTGGTGGTTGCTGACGAGTGCCAAGTAGCACGAAACCCGGGTCCAGGGTTTCCTGTTGATCACCTCCAACCACCACCTTACCTCAATATACTCACCCTTCGTTTGACGGATGTACATATGACGTAAGGCATAAAAGACACAAGTTGGCAGAAGTCAAACGAGTTTTCTCAATCCATGAAGAGAATTCTATATTGAATGACTGGAAGCAATTGACAAGATTCATTAACAAAAATCATCTAAAATCTTAAGACAAGTTTGCACTATCTGTATGATTCCAACCAATATTAAAATCTCAGATGTCATCACAGAATCATTCAGGTCAAGATCAATGTACACAAGTTGGCACTGGTTTAAGTTTCACTAGGAATCCATGCTACTTCGACAATGTAAATTCATTTTACTTACTAGCATACAATATACTCCCGTAGATTTCTTTCAATCATTTCCTATTCGAATCATCCACAAAGAACTTAAATGAATATTGTACCAAATCACATTGATTTTTAACGTATTTTAGAAAATAAAAGAAGAGAAAAAAACGAGAACATACATATAACGAGCACTTATGATGCTGACTTTTAGAATTCTATTGGTCTCCAGCCTTCTAGGCATCAAACAAATGATAAACTAAGTCTTCCAACTTCTAAATAGTGGTCTTATTGATTAGAGGATCAAACATCCAAAAAGCAGGTGTTAGAAATTTGAATCCCTTCCTTTAATTTCAAGGAATCCGGTATGAACAAGACGACAGTAGTAAAGTTGTGTACACAAACACTGTATATGATGAATCAGTATATATTTAACTACAGAAATAAAATGTTTTCCACATCATAACTAGTAATCTAAGAAGCCTGGAAGCTTCTATAACCTATGTGGAAATTAGAGACCAATCAATCAGATTGAGAAAGATTATCAATATACTGGCATTAATCAATGACAATCATCAATAGACCAAACAACATGCAAAGATAATACACACTATAATCACTGCTTCTACAGTTAGATGTTAGAAACTCTTCAAACAAACAGAAATTAAATGAAAAGCAAACAGGTAAACGCAAACGTAGTAGTAGTAAGTAGTATTTAGTTACCTTAGTCATATTCCATTCTCGTATTAAATTGTTAACAGTTCCACCAAGTACCACAATATGCTTTTTAGATAATAATAAAAATCCCATTACTAATGGAATTGAACCAATTAGACGAAATTTTGTTCCAGGTGGAATATCTATACTGAAATTGAAAATTTTGATTAATTAATGATAAATAAATGCGATTAGGAGCTACAACTACTCACAAATACGGAACGAACTGCTGTCCTAATTTATGGCATTGAAACATAGCCGATTAGAGTACAGGATATTCGTAGGCTACTAGTGTTCGATCATAGATGTCTTCGAAGCATTGTTCGTATATTCTGGGACCACCGGGTAAGTAATACAGTCGTTAGGAAACGGGTACTAGGTAAGGATAGCAAATCGATTGATGAAGTAGTGAAACTTTATCAGTTGAGATGGCTGGGACAGGTTACGTATGCCCAACCACCGACTGCCCCGACGTGCAAAGTTTTATGGTGTAGGAGTAGGTTGGAAGAAAGCTATGGGCGGCTAGACCAAAACGTGACACAAATCCATGAAGTCACTGACAACTGAACTGAGCCATGTTGGTAGGTGTAGACTATCTGGTTGGGATTCGCGAGATGATAGCAATCGATGGTTAGAGACTTTGAATGACATGGCTCAAAATCATTTGGAATGGCGAAGGTGCATCCACTCTTTGTGTTCTACCAAATCCTAGTCTTCTGAATTCTTCATGTCTCTATCTTTTTTCTCTTTTCAAATTTATTTCACTGGATTATACTCCTTCAATAACATCCTCAAACCCTAATCTTTCCGATTATTACTTATACGCTTACTACTTGTACCACTATGGGATTTCAATCGACAATTGTATCTCTGTGGTAATGTGGTACGGGAACTTGAACTGGTGTAGGTACGTACGAAGTTCTACGTTGTGACTGACTGACTGACTGATTTAAAGTAGTAGTATAAACTGAAATTTGATTAAAACTCATGTCTTGATAGCTTATAAGAAACCGGTTGAATTGAATCTCAGACGATAGAGTTATCTAACAGTTCGGTGAACAAACCTGCAAAACACTTGTTATAATTAGTTTGATAAGCGAGGAGACATTGTATACGCACATTATGCAACCAGTTCTTATCATTTCCAACTATGTTTTCGCATCAAAACAACTAAACATTCAAGACTCTTTTCATCTAAAATGCTGTAAAAGATGCATTTTTTTTAACATTTCTTTCCGCAATTTTAATAAGCTATTTATTTGATGATAACTCAGACGACACGTTGAATATATCTTTGCGTAGAGTAGTTGCTAGTCTGGTCACCAAGTCTTAGTGGTAATGCCTAGTGCTGTGAAGTTGTGTGACGCTGGTCTAAAACCCATAGAGAGCATTAATTTCCAAAAGATTATAAGTACACCTTGCTGAATAATCCAAACAATCATGAAACTTATACAACAAGGTAGAGATCAAAAAGATAATACAATATATGTGTGTATATATCTATTAAGTGCTTACTTCAAATCTGATTTATTCTGCATATCTAAACCAAATATTTGATTACGACCATCAGTAAAAGTAAATCGTAATAAACATGGTCCACGATGATCAGATGAACTATTTAACATGAGATCTTCTGTAGCTTGTGGTATACTAATATTGCGTAATCGAGTCAGCTGAACAATTCGACCATTCGCTTCAAGCTGTTTCCAAATAAATGAATGAAAAATATAGAAAAATATTTAGAAAGATATGTCAAGTTTATTCGTTACAGATTGATCTTAGTTAGGGTACTAGTGGAAACCAAGGGGCATTAGACAAATGTTTCTTCCCATCATAGGACTTCTTAGTGGTGCATACAATCACGATCCCACCAGGAGTCGAGCCCACAGTCTTCAGATCTCCTGACAAACTCTTAAGCATCAGGATCACTAAGTTGGTATCCAGTGGTAAAATTCCGACTCCAAACAATTTGCGACATATGGAGAAGTTCATTCAATGTTATTAATGACATACATTTTACTGCTGACATGTCTGAAATAGATGTAAACAATTGAAAAATAAGGTGAAAAAATGTTTAAACGAACGTATAATCTCTTTTTATTCTGATGTTGATGATGATAACGCCGCCAAAATCTTATTTTCACTGTTACTATTGTAAAACGGCGGTTAAACCACATTTTTCGCTTGGATGTGTTGTATTGAGTCCTATGTGAATGAGTCATAATGAAAAGGAAGCAGTTGCATGATCTCTTTAACTCATTCATCGACTACGTAACCTATACTGTCAGTGGGACCGATTACCTTATACTTATGATTGACGACTCGATCATAAACGACAACTACAACTTTAACGTTGATCGGCTCTTGAACACTTTTAAATCAGAAAACGAAGGTAAAAACCAGATCAGCTCTTAATTGTACTCGATCCAATCACTATTCGTATTTTACACAAAGAATATCCTTCGTATGATAGTTTTAAAAGTACAAACTCAATACTATTTATCTCATTATATCAATGTTAATGTATCTTACTATCAATTAGTACATGGTACATTGAAACTTCACTGCATTTTATTTATTTATTTATTTAAACACACAGATATTGGTACAAAAGGGGAACCAGATGCATATGCACCACACAAATCTCATTTGATTTGTGTGAAGACTGTGATACTGCCTGGGTGCGCAAACTTAAACAGGTGGTTTTCTTTGGGGGCCACACCTGAAGCAACACTTTAACCTTAAGATCTGATCCACAAGGCAGTGCAGGAGCATCGTGAGGAGATGCAGTCACATAATAGCCGGTGACCAACGATTGATTCATCTGTCATTTGTTCCCTCAGGATACTGGAGCCCATGTGCACCAATGGTTTGGAATGAGGGTTTTCCAACTCCCCTAGGTGGACATTCCGTGTCCACCAACCCGGTTAAAGTGCCGGACATTTGCTTTTCGTCCTCTCAATTTCGTAAAGAACACTCCCGCCACGAGAAGGCAGTGAGTAGGACTTCCCTGACAGAGGCCTTATACGCGTGGCCGTGTGAGAGCATTCCGAGAGGGAGAACGGACTCTCTCCACACTCGGCCGTACCAGGGCATTTGGGAGCTCTGCAAGTAATTAGATTTTAGCAACCATGTAAATAATTACTAGCGTTCACCTCTGAAGAGTAGTTCAAATGTGAGTGTACATAAAAACAAATATGTAAAATAAGTAACAATATTCATCATCTTCAATGAAACAATCCGTACATTTAAACGAATGTTGACTAGTTCAACGGACTAATATGTTGTTCAGTACAATTAATAAAATCTAAAATAATCCATCGGAATAGAATTCCCTAATTCATTAACAAACAATCTAAAACAGTTGGTAGATAATTTTTTCTATTCCTTAGTTTAAATGGTGGAACATCATGCTTTGATGTTAGGTAATTAAAGGTAAGCGACCAGAGACCCTACAGCCAGGTTCCAGACCAGTTGCCACTCACTAGCAAGCTGTATTTAAATTTTTTAAAGAACTGGTGCCTTTTATATGTTTTGAAACCATATCAACCTTGGTTTACAGTTTAAACATCTATTGTCAACTTGTGTCCGAATGACTACATCAACGCAATTCGCACAGAATATCCATATGCTAACCAAAGCTGATCGAATTTTGGTCAAAAATATAAACAACGAAAAAATCTATACCATTTCAAATTGAATTAAATCTCATAACCATTGAACAAGTGGATATCTGAACTCATTAGCTAAGTGAATAACACGATGGTGTTTGAAGCAAACGGTACTACGTTCGAGTCCCGGAGTGAACATCAACTCTAAGATCCAGGTACATCGATCTGAAGAGTAAAAGTAGAGTTAAACGTGCGTCCTGGATTCCACTTGTGGCCATACTCCATCTAGTTTGTATTAAAAATGAACTTATTTCAATATATTCTACCTTTGGTCTCATTGTTATCAAACATAAACCATTGAGTAAAACAATTATTCTTTAAGAAAATTCGACTACAAAATAACTTCTCTTACATGACTGGCCTTTTTTAAATCTCCTAGCCATGGTGAACCAAATTCACGAATATCCGACTTTAGGTTTGACCAAGAATTTAAAGTACCATTGGATAAGAAAGAAAGCAATAATGAAAGAAGGAAACGGTGAGTAGTATGCATCGGCAAAAGTAAACAACCACTTACCTTTTTATATACAATCTAATTTATCAATGATTTAATGACATCATTTTGAATACAGTTAATAATGGATTAAGCACCATATTGTGATGAAAAATTAAGATTTTAGAGTCCATTCAAAAAGATTCTTAGTTCTGTCTCAATCTTTCAGGTTGAATTGTTTATAACGACGAATTCCTGTAGTGTAGAATAAATCTATACTTGTAAATAGTAAAGCGGCAGCTTGAAAGCTCAATTTTAAGTGATTAGGTTCTAGGTTCCATTACAGTTTCATACATTTCAATTTCAGCAGCTAGATAGAATCACCAATCATTAACAAATAAAAGGATGTCTCAAAACCAAAAAGGTATGTCAGAAGCTGAACAGATCGGAGATCAAGAAGTACAGTACATGTAGATACCTATAATCTTCAACGAACTGATTGATTCAATCCTGTGTCAGTCACCTTGCTGACGAGTGCAAAATAGTATAAAACCTAGGTTCAGGGATTTTCGCTAACTGGCTCTGACTAACATCTTACATCTTAACATAGTACATGCGATGTCGAGTAACCTAGATTAGTAACCACACTGCAAGTTGATCGACAGAATTCGATCCGCACTATGAGGACCTGAAATACATTACATCAGTCACTACTCCGTGATCAATCAATTGTAAGTAGATACACACGAACAAATGTGGGTCAATACAAACAGTGTGGCATAAGCCTCTGCATCAGTAGGCCCCAACATACACAAGGGAAAAATCAAGATCCTCAAATTCAACACAGAGAACACCAACCCAATCACATTTGATGGGAAAGCACTTGAAGATAAGAAATCTTTCACGCATCTGGGTAGCATCATCGATGAACGTGGAGGATCTGACGCAGACGCAAATGCAAGGACAACATTCCTACTGTAGTGAATGAGAACATAAGTGGGGGCAATCGAATGTACAGCAACACACAAATTACAGAATCACTTACTAAAATCTGAGAACAATACAGTAAATACTTCATTTGCAACATATCAGTCAATCGTCTCAGACTTCAGTGTTCCTTCGTTTCCACACAAATCATTTTTTGTTCTCGTTCTCTTTTCTTCTATCTTCTCATCCTTCTGAATCCAGATATTTCATTTTCTACTGATGATAGATACTACTTATATATGCCGACATCAGTAGCACACACCACACTACAGTTGAAGAGCATCTGCAACTCAAAACAACTGTCAAACAATATCAAAGTCACAATCTTTAATACGATCGTCAAGACAGTTCTACAGTACGCAGCTGAAACTTCTAAAACTACTACAATCATCACCAAAAATGCACAAGTATTTATACACAATTGTCTACGTAAGGTACTCAACATCCATTGGGTGGATACTATCAGCAACAGCCTACTGTGAGGGAGAACAAACCAAATTCCAGATGAGGAAATTAGCAAAAGACGTTGAAAGTGGATCGAACATACATTAAGGAAATCATCAAACTGCATCACGAAGCAAGCACTAACTTGGAATCCCGAAGGGGAACTGAAAAATGGAAGGCCAAAAAAACACACTAAATAGGGAAATGGAAGAAGAAATGAAAAGGATAGACAGAAACTGGTAAGAACTGAAAAGAATTACTCAGGATAGAGTTCAGTGGAGACTGCTGGTAGGTGGCCTTTGCTAGTCCACGCGGAACAACAAGCCTAAGTAAGTAATTAATATATCAAACAATTTATAACAACTGTATTGCAGGTTTTTCACTAAGCTGTTAGATAACTCCATCTTTTGATATCCAAGTTGACCAAAGAACTACCCAACTGTTGTTGGTTTACTTTTGTTACCACACTGCTTATCTCTTTTGGCACATCATTTATTATTATTCTTTAAATCAAGTTTTAGTTTATACTACTACTTAGGGTATTTGTGAGTAGTTGTAGTTCCTATTAGCATTTAATTATCATGAATTAATCAAAAATTTTCAATTTCAGTATAGATATTCCATCTGGAACGAAATTTCGTCTAACTGGTTCCCTTCCATTAGTAATGGGATTTTTATTATTATCGAAAAAGCATATTGTGGTCTACTTATATCCTCTTAAGTAGTATATGGCAATGGTCAGACATAGAATGTATTTTGGCAGAAGATCAATAAGGAAAGAACTGAAATGTAGCGCAATTGGTAGGAAAATGCATAAACAATGAAATTATAGAAGATGGATTAATATTTACAGAAGGAACAGTGAGGATTGAGACAAACGGTTGTTATTTTGCAAATTAATTGTTTACTGTATGGTTATCAGAATTTAGTGGGATAGCCTGTAATTTGTGCTTAAATACACTCGATTTTCCCCTTCATGTTCTTGTTCACTACAGTGGTACTCGGTGGGACTGTTAACAATTTAATACGAGAATGAAATATGACTAAGGTAACTAAATACTACTATTAGTACGTTTGCGTTTGCTTGGTCATCGTCCTGTGTTTCACGGAGGATAACAAGTAGAAGTAAGTAAGTATTGATGAACTACTGATTAGAATCAATTTACTTACATTCAACAACAAAGTAATCAACTCATCATAAGTTTCATGTTCTGTTTTCTTTAAATATTCTGTAAATGTCTTTTGTGACAAACTCCTGTAGACAAATGATAAAACAATAAGAAAATGATTATTATTTATGATAGATTGTAGATGAACATATACTGATATTATGGGAAATATTTGATAAGAACTAAATTATATATCAATAATTGGTCAATTTAAAGCATGGATATCAGTGATCGGATCAGTCTGATCCATGTTATAATATAGTATAGTAATCATCTTTGCGTAACAATAACACAATGTGATCGTCTTATTGTAGCAATCCAATTGAACGTAGTCTTGTGAATAAAGGTTTGAATTAGATCTGTCAGTCAGTCAGTCAGCTACAACGTAGGACCAGGCACATATATGCATCGGCCCAAGTTGCCATACCTCGTTAGCACAACAAGATGAACACCGGATTCATAGAAGTAGTTAATTTAGTGGTGGTAGTATATAAAAGATAGGTTGTATATAAGGATATAGTATAGGAAGGAAAAACGTTATAGAGAAATTTTAATCTTAAGGTTTAAGGGAAGATAAAGAGTGTATACATCTATGCCATTGTGATCGATTCTGAGACATGTCACACAGAGTCTCCAACCACTGGTTACGATAGTCGCGCGGACCCCAACCAAGTAGTCTTCATCTGTTACATTTGATAAAGGATTGATGTTAATGTGAAGATTATTCAGGAACTAAATTAATTACAGAAAATATCAAATGATAGATTCAATGTTTAAATTAACTGAAATGAATCAACTGGTTGTTTGAAACGTATTTGAAATAAAAGATTAACTGGCTGAGATCTAGGAGATAACCTTAACCAATTATCGGAGACATTGAATAATATGGTTCAGAATTTGTTAACAATTGCTTGGATCCTTTATTTCTTTATCTTCCCTCAGGATTTTTAGGTCTAGTAATCCTTCATGTTTACCTTTTTATTTTGTCTTCTAGTACCATATGAAAGATTGCGCGAGATCATAGCTTGATTGAAGTTAGACATTAATACCATAGAATTAATACATTTGGACGATCAATTCTGAGCTATATTATCTAGCGTTTTCAATCACTGGTTAGAACAATCGTGAAAACTCTAAGCGGGTTGTCTTTATCACCTATCAATATGGCGCAAACGAACAGTTAATGTCTTCATCAACTGATGTTAAATCTTCATTTGGCTGCTCCTTGCTACAGATTCTCAATTACTGATCTCATTAAAAACTGACTTTAAATGGACAGTTGTTGAAAGCCATAAAATATTAGAACTGTATTTTGTTCCAAGATGGAACTCGTCCGGAGTATGTATCCACGATCCTGTGATAAAGATTATTCGCGCCACATTCAGATCTTATGTCGAACTTAACAACTGTAAATTATTGACTTGCTCTTCAACATGATTCACATTTGCAATTTCAATTTATTTAGCTGGTGCATTATTTGACTTCATGAACTCCACGACTGCTTCAGGATCAACTAGTGACTTAAAATTAATGAATACTATTTTTTAGAAATCCTATCACGTGAGTCCGAAAACAGTACATGGGTTAAATAAATGACTTTATGTCTACCAACAAATAAAACCCAGCAAAAATTGTGCACAAGTTCCATACTTTATTTCACGAGTGAAATAGATTGGAAACACATCAGTATCCCATCACCATATTCTTCATGAATACTCAATAACAGTATGTCACTGCTTTCAACATATTAAGAATTTCACTTACTGTAATATCCTACAATTTTCTACTAGTCTGTCACTTATAAGTAGTGTAGGACCTGGTGCATAACGGTTCCAGTAGTCGCAACACATCAGCATAATGAGTTGAAATTATCAAGAAAAATGTGAGAGCAGTAGAAGTAATAATAGTATCAGTGTTATTAAAAAAGATTAGGAGTAAATAATAAGATTTAAGAAGAATGAAAAAGCGAAAATGAATGCAAGGAGAACTTTAAAGTTAAAGATATATGAAAAAATATGGTAAACGCATTTGCCCTATCAAGAGTAATCAAGATATATCAATCGACGTCTCCAGCCATTAGTTAGCATGATTACCCGGACCCTAACCAGATAGTCCCCAACAACCTATATGGCTAATTCCACCCGTCAATGATCAAATGGACTGATATCAAGTCTTGATTTATTCACGTCTAGCTTTCTATCAACCTATTCCTACACCAGTAAACATCGCGCGTTGAAGTCGGCAGTGAACTAAACGCTATGCATATTCCCGGAGAATACAAACATTATGCTTATGACCATAGTCTAGTCACCTTTAATAACAACACTAATAAAGAGTATGAGATTAGTTTTTGGGTTTCTGGGTTCGAATCTCGCGAGAGCGAGATCGTGGATGCGCACTGAGGAGTCCCATAATAGAACGAAACGGCCGTCCAGTGTTTCCAGGTTTTCGATGGTAGTCTAGCTTCAATTGACTCATGATTTCAACTATGAAAATTTATTCTTATCTATTTAGTATCCATCATGAAAGTGCTATATAAAAAATAGAATAATTTCATAACCTTATAGGTATGAAGATAACTTACCAGCCAGCATTTGTTACCTCCGTTAAACTACACTGTAATATAGAAATGGAAAATATTTCAGTTTTTAATATCACTATTATCATTGGAGGGGGGGGATAGGAGCGAAAAGAGAAGATATTCATATAGTAAACAAATAATGTATTTCAATAAGAATGAAGAATTTACATATACACACACACACACACACAAAATCTCCATACAACTTTTATACATACAAACAAAAAAAACATAAATAGGGATACAAAAACATCTCCATCCATCTGTATACACAAGAAATAGACGATTTCGGTTCATTGATACATTAGAAATACAGCAGCGTATAAGTCATATTCATATGACTAATGTACAGCATAACCTAATGGATCTTGTTCATTGTCAATTAAATATTGAATTGATTCAGAGATATGATGAAGAAGATTTTGAAGTTGAGGTCCAGAGAATAACTAGATATATAGAGAAAGAACAAAACATAACAGAATAAAGATATCTTTAACAAAAAGATCATAATTGAAATAATATGCCTTATAATATAAAAAGATATCGTATTATATAATGACCGTTGCTGCTACCTTGACGTGGTGGTAGGGCTTACCTATCGTCATGAACAAGTCGAGCTATACTGGCTGGAACAATCGTTCCTCAAGGTCTTACCTTGCCAGACAGGTCGGTTGAAGAGCGGTGAGACTAAAAACAGCAATCTCAAGGCTCGAAGGCGAAGTTGTACTGCTGACTATACAGAGGTGTAACGGCAGTAAGGTGTTTCTTTCAGACAACCAGCATAACAGCGATGCTGCCTTCTCACAATGAGGGGTGTGGTTAAAAATGGTCGACCCTAAAAATGCACACCTCGCCTTATTCCCAAGGATTTCCGTCTCCGGTGGTAAGGTCCTTTGAAGAACGGAACTAACACGTCGAAAATCCCCAACAAAAAGGCCGTGCGTGACCGACCTCAAGCTGTTGTCCCTTGGGCACTGCGGTCAGGCTCTCAGGTCGTTAAGATCAACACTAATCCGACTTTTTTTTCAGATCCCTCAAGAAATACCCTTCCACGGTGTGGGTAGCCAGGAAGTGATATTAGCCCTCATACCCATAACTGCACACGAGACCAAGTTGGTCACATTCATTACATAATGAGCAGAAGAAAATATTTGATCTGAGTCTTTTAATCGATCAGTAACTCAGATTCGTGATACATTTAAAGTGAATGGTTGGTAAAAAATAATAACGTTTTTTAATAAGCGATTGATGAGGCTATATTTTTGTCTTCCTGAAAAATCTTGAGTTAAGTACCATTTTTAGCTATTCACGCATGAATCTCATTCATTCGATTTTGTACTGTATCTGCGATATTTAGAGTACCACGCTGTAATTTATATCACTAATATGGTAAGCTAATCAGAAGTAACCAAATGAGAGGGTCACTTAATGACAATCTGAAATGACCTGAGGGACAACTACATTGCATTGGCTAAGAAATGGACAAATTTCCTAAGGGGTAGAGTTATATATATAAATGAATCCATCCGGTGAGTAGCATTACCAATTTCACTACTTTCCCTCAGTTATTTCACCGACGTTTAATAAACATGAAAGTAGTGTCAAACAAAAAATATGTTTATGTCCAGTAAATTAATTGATCTTTTTTGAAAAAAAAGATTAGTCCTCATCACAAATTCATATCACTTGGAAGACTATTGGTTAGAGTGTTTTTAGCTAGGTTGTTTTCTATGGGATGGAGTTACTGATCCCATACCTAACCCTTTACTCGGGCTTACGACCGATAGTAACCCTAGAAAAGTTACAGGCGAGGCAAGTGCTAACTTGGAATCCTGAAGGTAAAAAGAAAAGAAAAACGTCAAGGAATACATTGCGTCGGGAATCTGAAGCAGATACCAAAAGAATGAATAGCGATTGTAAACAATAGAAGAGGATTGTTCAGGATAAAGTTCGATGGATAATCCTAGTAGGTAGCCGATACTCTTCCACAGGGAGTAACAGGCGTAAGTAAGTAAAGAAAACAATTGAAATTCTAGTTTACCATTCACTATTTGTAACTATTCACAACCTTGAAAAGGGACGAAAACGCTTGAATTCCAAAAAAAAAAATTCTACCTACCTTGAATAAACCATATTCATTATCTACAATTAAATTGGATAATTCAATACATTTTTGATGTAATCCAGCAGTTTGATATAAACGAACAATAAGAAATACTGTCTCTGTAATACATGTCTCTCGTAGTACATTCATTTGTAATTGACGTGAAGTAGAATTTTCACCAAGTCCATCAAATAAATCTTCTTTATTCACCGATAATATTCCATAATTGTTTTCATGTGTTTCTCCTTCATTATTTTCTATTTCATGATCATGATGTAAATTCATACTGTGTAATTTATTTATATGATTATGATTAGTTTCTGTTGTCAATGCTGATCGATCATTTGGATCCATATTCAGCTGTTGTTGTTGTTGTTCTATATCAACTAGCCAACCAGGATGTGGATATGTCAATAATGCCAAGAGTTTTTCAGCTGCTGCCTATATATATATATATAATTTGTGTTTATTTACAGATGAAAAGAATAAATAATTTAGTTGAAAGGATTTTATAAAGATCAGTTTGATTTGTAGGTTATATATTTACTTAAGACTTAACACAGCATACACCCCAAGATTAATCTGTAAAGAATAGTGCTTACAAGAAATAAGTAAATTCAGTGAATCTTTATGTTAGATATAGAGCTTTGGTTCTTACTATGCCGCGTACTACTAGACTACTTGAACGATCGAATCCGCAACGTCGCAAGAGAGAAGAGAGAAGACTAGTGAGTAGGAATTTTATTCCCCAAAACAGAAATCTCATGTATTTATAGTTTTTGGCTTAGAGTAAATCATCATTTAAGACAACCAATAGGCACATAGGGGGTTATTCTTATCCATCCCATAGGGAAGCTACATGTCGATATTCTAGAATATTCCCCTAGCAGTGATTGGATGAAATGTCTTCAGCTCTTTCTGGGCTTCTTGAGGCTTCCTAGAATTTACCAACGAGCCGTCCTTACACTTTAATAATATCACTGATGTTGATTATCGTACAAGCTACATGAAGATGCACCTTAGACTTCACAGTTCAAACTAATAAACAAAGAATTGAATATTTGATGTCATTAGTCTAAAACTTCAATCTGATTACAGTAACTAATATGTGCTTATGCAGAGAGTATGTAGAAAGCTCCGTTGCCATAACTCAATAAATGTGTGCAGTTTGTCTGTAGTGACCTAGAAAGGAGGATATAGTCAGTAATCCTGAGCTGATTATTAATTTATTCATTCACAGTAGGCTTATTAATTTTGATGGAGTTTTATTCTCTGAGCTGGATGGTTTGGTCGTCAACCTTTCAACGTCCTTCTGAACGACAGCATCAGCACAAACTTCGGGTAGAAATGAAGTGTTTGAATTTCTCCATATATGATTCACAGCTTGTCCTGTGTATCACGATGAAAGCTCCAGCTCAGAGAAGAAAACTCCATCAAAATCACCCACCTGAGCTACAAATCTTTTCCACCATCTCAAAATCATACGATTATTAATATTTTTATTCCTCGCTGATGGTGTTATCATCATGCAATAGTGTGTGATCTGTTTGGCCTTGTAGCAAATAAAACATACGCTATGTTTAAGCTCCTCAAGCATACTACCTTCCTGTCATGAAAAGTATACTCTCCTCTTTATAAGTCGAGGTGAGGGCAGATCGGTTAGCTAAAATGGCGCTTAAGATTAAGTCAGGTAGGATTGTTGTACGTGTGTGCGTGATTAACAGTTCATTGAATTATATTTAATCATAAATGAATATTCCTTCCTGAAAAATCTAATCTTCTAGTCGGTCAATATTTTAAAGCTTACCGTGAATATCGATAGTTGGTAAAGCAAGGCTAGTTTTTTAAGCAGCATCTCCAGGGATAAAAACAACTTACTACTAACTCATGTTTATTTATTTAATTGTATGAAGTTCAGCTAGAGTTCATGCTTACATAATGGGACCTTTTTCAAACCTTATTTCACTATTAAGAATGAAATTACTGAATGTAATAACTATTAGTATTAACCAAAGTAATATTACAATCTTAAATAAACTGATGACTACATTCAATATACTATTGTAATGGTCTGAGATCTGTCTCCATGTAGGTTGTTTGCTGCTTGTTATCGAACTATACATGTCGTCCATCCTCGTATATGCCCATCGGCTTAACTCGTGTTAGTGAATAACGAAATGAAATCAGTCGAGTACGAGAATGAAGTTTTGGATACGTATATTCCGTACAATCGTTGGTCGGGAAGCGAAGCAAAACAAAATGACACCCAATGGAGTAGGCGAGTGACCCAACTCAATTTAACCAAGTGAAAATCTATATTTATAGTCAAACAAGAATAAAATACCGACAAATGATGGATAGGGTAAGTAATTAGCACACATACGATCACATAACAAACAATCAGGATTAATAAGAGAATAAGTGAAAAAGTTAAAGGTATGGCTTGAGAAGAATGGTTTACACAATATATTCAACATTCACTGGCCGGATACTATCAGCAACAACGTTTTATGGGAGAGGACAAACCAGCTTCCAGCTGAAGAGGAAATTAGGAAAAGAAGTTGGAAGTGAATAGTACATACATTAAGGAAATCACCAATGTGAATTACAAGGCAAGCCTTAACTTGGAATCCAGAAGGAAAGCGGAAAAGAGGAAGGTCAAAGAACACATTATGCCGTGAAATAGAAGCAGATATAAAAAAGATGAATAACAACTGGAAGGAACTGTCCAGGACAGAGTTGGATAGAGACTGCTGGTGAGCGACCTGTGCTCCTCCGCGAGGGGTAACAGGCGTAAGTAAGTTGAAAAGAATGGATAGATTGGTTTGTCTAGAGGTTAGAATAACCTATGTGAGCTTCACATAGTACCAGCCCCCTTCACAATTTAATCTTCGATTTCACTCGTTCATGCTTCACACAATAAATAATATAGAAATGTGAAGAAACATCCATTTTTGCTATAAGCAACTTAATCATACTTTAGATGAATCTACCTAATTACCCATGGACAGACAAAATCAT